TAATAGAAAATGAACTACGGTATAACAATTGATATATTAAAGAGACTGTTTTTTTTTTGTATTCTAAATTAAACTTACGAGATTGTTCTAATAATTAGAAAGTGCTAGTCCTATTGTCAGTGAAAGTGAAAATGAAAGCCCAGAAATAGTCGCTATTGATGAAAGTGCCGAAATAACCATTGTTAATGATAATGCCAAAATAACAACCATTAATGAAAGTGCCGAAATAACCACTATTAATGAAAGTGCTGAAATAACCGCTATTAATGAAAGTGCCGAAATAACTGCCATTGATGAAAATATTGAAAAGACTACCGCTGATGAAAGTTCCGAAACTACTAGTAATAAAAAATATAAAACAAATAAGTCGTAGGTTTTTAAAGAAGGTCATTTTAAGCATGATCCTAAAAATAGTAAATATTCATGTTTCAATAATGTTGTAAATATTATTCTATAAAGTAGTTAATATTTATGATATATAATTTATCAGAAAATTATACTAAATGTGCATATTGTAAAAGTGCTTTAAAACATGATAATACGACGGGAACTAGTTCATTAATTCATCACCTAAAAAACACAAAATGTAGCATATGTCTTAAAAACAACAAATCACAACAAATGTTACAGCTTTCTTCGTCAGGCCTTACTACTTACAAATTTTCCCAAGAAAGAAGCTGTCAAGATTTGATTAAGATAATTATAATGCATGCATACCCATTCCGTATAGTTGAACACGAAGGATTTCTAACCTTTGTTAACAACTTACAACCACAATTTAAGATTATAAGTAAGAAAATGGTGCGCGAAGATTCTCAAAAAGTTGTCGAAGACCTTAAATTGAAAGTCCGTATAGCAATTCAAGAAGCACCGGGAAACCTGAGTTATACAACAGATTTATGGTTGTCGAACCAAACTCTTGGATATATAGCCGTTACATGCCATTTCATTGATAATAATTAGGAGCTTCAAAAATTCATTATAGCCTTCAAACTAATTCCTGCACCGCATACTGGAATTGCTATTAGTGAACTGCTTTTTAAATATTTTAGTGATTGGGGTATTGTATCAAAAACTTTAGCAATTACTGTAGACAATGCAACCAGTAATGATAATGCAATTAATAATGTAAAAAACAAGCTTGACTAACAAAGCATGCTTATTGTAAATAGAACGTTTCTACACCAACATTGCTGTGCTCATATTTTGAATCTCATAGTTGAGAATGGCCTTAAAATAGTTAAGAATATTACAAGTAAAGTTCGAGAATGTGCAAAATGGGTTCGCAGTTCACAGCTTCATCAACAAAACTTTGAGGATGCTATAATCGGATGTAGTTCTGAACTTGTAACTAGTCGACGACCAACCCTTGATGTTCCTACCCGGTGGAATTCTGTTTATTTAATGTTAGCATCGACTATTCCATATAAGAATGTATTTGAGCGTCTTTCATTACGTAATTCTAATTTTGACCAAATTATGCCTTCCGACGGAGACTGGAGAAAGGCCATGACCCTTTATGACTTTTTAAAGCCATTTTATGAAGGTAATTATAATTTCTAGTTAAGAATTGGTGCGGTCAAAAAAATAATAACCAGTCAAAATTTATAGTTTATTGATTTTGACTGGTCAAGAAGTTAGTTAAAATAAGGTAGATTAGTCATGTAAAAAAAAAATTGTCAATAACGTGATATACAATCATTTAGACTATATTTCTGTATTCGGGCTATTAATTTTATAGTTATAATTCAAAATCTAAAAATATTCATAACTTTTAGATCCCAAATACAAAAAAATATAGTCTGAGTGGCTTGTATATCACATCACTGTCAATTTTTTTTAACATGACTAATCTACCTGTTAAAATCTTATGGCAGTCAACCAATCAAGCATTGGTTTTCTATCAGTACTTATCTAATAACAGTTCATGTGAACAATTTAAAGTTGAGCTTGCTATAACAAAGATATAGAAACGGCCAAAGATGAAACAGTGGCATCTGAGTAGTATTTGAATATTTACTGAAGATGGCAATTCAAAGGATGATTTGTTGCTGAATCTGCTATCAAAATAGCGTAGCACACCTGAAAATAAAACAAAATATGAATGGTATTTAAAATCTGGTAAAGAATAGACACTTAAAAAAACAATTTAAAATGGAAATCTGCTATTAAAATAGCATACATTTTTAGTAGTAATTGAGATCTGCTGGAGGTGGTGATTCGAACGGACAATTTAAAGTTGGAATTTGCTATGAAAAAGATATAAACATAGCCAAGAATGAAAAAAGGCATTTGAGTGTGAGT